TCTCCATCATTTTGGCCTTTTTTATCTCCACCATTAACGCTTTCTTGCCATGACAATAATTTAAAACTTATCTGATTTGTAGACCTGAACATGTCAGAAGCCGAATTGCAAGCATATTAATTGTCAGGGTCGTAAGTGAAATTGAAAGCAGAGGAAGAAGCAGAATCTCAGCCTTTCCTCAACTCCACAAATACACCGTTAGTTATAGTTCAGGGCTTGCAATGAATCGTACTTCCTGTTTGACCTAAAGTAAAAGCAGTCCCATCTCATCTCTTTCTAATCGACTTCACCTCATCTCATGTCCCACCTCTCACCTCTAGCAATTACAGTATGGAAGCCGTATTCTTCGTGCAGTACATGAGGAATTGAGACATTTGCCCTGCAGATGCGTCCTTGAGCCATGAAATAAGGATTGAGGGGTTAGCAGTGAGGAGGTAATAGAGGAGAGCGACAAACCAGGAGTGAAAAATGGCAGTAAACCGTGCATTCCACTGTTTGAGATACATAGGACACGCTTAACGCAAAGAAAAACGCAATCCTTCTTTGAGCAAATTAGTAGTTTATATATATGTATGCAGAGTAGGTAGGTAGGTAGAATGATGAGTTGATGACGAGAAGTGGCATCGAGAATGGATTGAAGTAGGGTTAGGTAAAGAAAGCAAAGAAGATGGAGAGAGAAGAAGTGGGGATGTGATCGTTTGGAAAGACAAAGCGCGCATGAGGAGAATGATAGAAGAACCAAACTGACTGGACTAATAAAGAAGGACAGGGAGAACGTGTCACTGAAGTACATTGCACTCAAGGATATCATCGACGTATAGCTGCGCGAATGGAGAAATGAATGCTCCTACCTAATCAGGTGGAAGAGGTGAATGCCGAAACTATTACTACATTGCCAGAATTGCTAAAGCTTGTAAAAAAACTCTGTTGCGTACTCATCGCGCTATTAATGTCTTAAACAGATTTAAGTGTTGCACTTATTGACTCCTTATGCTTGAATGTCCTTAAAAGAATGCGAATAATATATATATGGAAGAGAAATCTTATTTGCTTGAAATATCTGAGTTCTCCATCACACATTCCTGTGCCGATTTTCAATTTCCATAAATTTTGGATTCTTACCTTTCTAGTATCAAATCCTGCAATTTCCTTGAAGTCTTAATTTAAATGAATATATTTGAGAGTTGTAGGGAGTAGGACTTTTATTCAGTTCCTCTTCACTGGCCAACACATAGCTGCGATATGCTGAAATTGAACAGATAACC